CCTTGATCAGGTAGAGTAGGGAGAGGGGAGTAGCAGGATAAAGGCATGGGAATTGCAGGAGTTGGATGTTGACAGGCAGGAAGAGAAGGCCCTGCTTGTCTTGGAAGGGAAAAGAAGCTTCCATTTCCAACAAAATAGAGTTAGTATCTGCATCGAATGACACTTTCTATATTCTCTCCAAATTCTGAGGGCTGGGATCATTACTTTGTTGACTCCTAGAATGTCATGTCTATTGATTTCTTAGTGATATATAAAAAGTCTCAAAATATTTATCAATTGGAGAGGTTCAGATATTGCAAAACTAGGTCTCTTTGGAGGATGAATGAGAAGATGAGCAGCCGAGAGTCATCAGGGCTCCCTGTGCCTGTATCTAAGTGTCAGTGGAATTTGCTTTCTAAGAATAGTGAGCCTGTGGCTTGGGCTCAGCGAAACCTGTGTGGAGGGAAGTTTTAGCTCACACGAGTCTTAACTTAGCAGGAGTGTCCTATGTCTTCTCCACAGTAGGCTGCACCTGACAAAGACCTAACTATGACTTTGACTAATAGAATCAACGAAGGGATATGATTTTTAAATACATGTTTAATATTGATAATGTTCACTTGTGGCAAAGTGGTTAAGTACTCAGCAATTTGAACTCATCAGCAGCTCTACAGCAGGAAGAGGTGGCAGTCTTCTTTAGTAAAAATGTACAGCCTATGGCTATTTCAAAGGAGCTCTCGTAGCATAGTGGTTATGAATCGGACTGCGAACCTCAAGGTCAGCAGTTCGAAATTACCAGTCACTCCGCAGGGGAAAGATGAGACTTTCTGCTCCCATAAAGATTTACAGCCTCAGAAAACCTGTACAGGGTCGCTATGGGTCAGAACCGACTCTACGGCACTTACAACAACAACAACAATGGCTACTTTAAGGAGCTCTGGTAGCGTAATGGTTACAAATCGGGCTGTGAACCTCAAGGTCAGCAGTTCGAAACTACCAGCTCTTCTGCGGGAGAAAGATGAGGCTTTCTGCTCTTGTGAAGATTTACAGCCTTGTAAACCCTGTACAGGGTCGCTATGAGTCGGAACTGACTCCACGGCACATAACCATAAAATAAAGGCACGAAGTGACTAGCTTACAAGATTTCAAGAGGGAGTTTAGTTTAAGAGTGTGTGTGGGAAGATAGAGTCCTCACTGAATAGTTTTCATCTTGTCTAGATTCATGTGGTAGAAAGGGATGGGGATAAGAGTCTTATGAAACAAGGTGTATGATTTGTTGAATGTAAAACTGATAATCTGCCCTGTAAACTTTCACTTAATTCACAATAAAAACTTAAAAAAAAAAAAAATTGTACAGCCTAGAAAACCCCATGGGGCAGTTCTACTCTTCCTGCTAGGGTTGCTATGAGTCAGAATTGACTTGATGGTAATCAGTATGTTAAATCTGATAGAGAATTACAGTATTCATCATCATTTATTCCTTTCACACTAATGCCATTCATTTTTTTCAACAAGTACCATATTGTATGTAATCATCGTATTGATTATTACTCACATGGAAACATTTTTCTTTGTATTTAAGGAAGAATGACACATAGTCTCAGGGGATCAGGGAAGTAGCTACGGTTTTTAATTAAGGATGGCTGAGCTGCCTGCCGTCAAGCATCAGGATGGATTTATTAATTGATAGAAGTAAATTGGTAATACAGCCCTGTGGGTTAATGCGTTGGATTGCAACTTCAGTTTGGACAGCAAGGTCAGCGGTTCAGGCTCACCAACACCTCCTTGGACACCCTATACAGGGTCGCTATGAGTTGGAATCGACTCAATGGTATTTAACAACAACAATGCATTGAATGGCTTGCTTTTCCTTCAATAGCAAAGATCCTCATTCTAAACTAAATGAGTACGTTTGAGTTGCAGCGCATGAGTTTAGCGGCTACTTTTTCTCTCTGCTGCTCAATCTCCATTCTTTCTCAATTAGAAGTAACACACAATCAGGCTGCTAACCTCAAGGTCAGCTGTTCGAAACTACCAGCTGTTCCTCAGGAGAAAGATGAGGCTTTTCTGCTCCTGTAAAGATTTACAGCCTCAGAAACCCTGTACAGCGTCGCTATGAGTCGGAACCGACGCCGCGGTACATAACAACAACAGTCAGAAACACAAGGAGCTCTGGTAGCGTAGTGGTTATGAATCAGGCTGCTAATCTCAAAGTCAGTTTGAAACTACCAGCTGTTCTGCAGAAGAAAGATGAGGCTTTCTGCTCCTGTAAAGATTTAAAGCCTTGGAAACCCTGTACAGGGTCGCTGTGAGTTGGAACCAATGCCACGGCACATCATCACCACCACCACCAGTCAGAAACATATTTGTGTTTTGTGAAGGTAGCAGAATTATATTGGTATTCTCATATAATGTACTGTATATGGAAGAGATGCACTTTAATAGTACTTAAAATGCTGAAAGAGAATTGGCTTCCTAAGAAGAATAAAGAAAATCTGAGTGGACTGTAAGTGAAGAAAGGGTAGTTTGAATAGTGGCTAGTTAGGAAGTCTGTGCACTCCTGACTGAAGCCAGCCCTTGTTCTTTTCTACTGTGATGACGATCAGGCAGCTGTGGTGTAAAGTGAGCTTTTGGCTGATACAAATGGTTATTGCATTTGTTGACTAACTGATGGTTAGCAGTTCAAGTCTACCAGATGTACCTCAGAAGAGAGGCCTGGCAATCTATTTCTGAAAAATCTACCATTGAAAGCTCTGTGGCACATAGTTGTAGGTTACACACATGTTGTTGTTAAGTACCGTGGAGTCAATTCCGACTCATACCCTGCACAGGGTTTCCAAGGCTGTAAATCTTTACGGGAGCAGAATGCCTCATCGTTCTCCTGTGGAACTGATGGTAGTTTCGAACTGCTGACCTTGAGGTTGGCAGCCCAACTCGTAACCACTACACTACCAGAGCTCCACACACATGGGATCACCATAAATCAGAAATGATTCAATGACAATTGGTTTTGGTGGTTACGTGTGTGTGTGTGTGTGTGTGTGTGTGTGTGTGTGTGTTAGAGAGGTCTCCGGTTTTCTCATTAAGCTGTTTGTCCTCCACCCCATTCCCACCCCTTCTCCCTGTCCCACCCCCTTGATTGCCCTGTCTCATCCCATTTTAGGTTACTTGGTTCATCGGAGCTTATATGAGAAATGTATATTTTATTTAAGTTGTCCCGTGCTGTTACATATGATTGCCTGATTGTAACTTAAGTGGCTTTTTTTCTTTATTAATTATTTAAATGGCTTCTTAGAAAATAAAGCAAACAAAGAGAAGACTTAGTCAAAATCGGTAGCCTTGAAGTTTTCATTATTGCTTCACCTGCTCAGAACAGATGTCCTTCAGGACAGTGTTCCATTTAAGAAACGTTAAGTTTTTTGTATAGAAGTAAAATCCATGGCTTTCTTAGAAAGAATTGAAACCACCGTGCCTTTTTATTAATAAAATCTGTAAGTGTGTATCTTCTGTGAAAGGTAGACACACAAGTATGTTGAGACTTGCTTGGTGTAGTATAGTAGCCACACTTATTCTAGCTATCCTTCCCCTCCAAAACTGAAAACAAAAATCATATTCCCATCATTTCTGGCTGCCTCGGGTAATAGTATAAGACACAAGGACTCATTTCCTTTCATCTAATTCATGGAATCTCAAAATGGTGAAACACTTCAGGAAGATTTTCTGCTCTGGAGTTTCTGTGGGACCCTTGGAGCTCTGTGAGGTGTTTTGGACCCACTGATGGAGGAAATGCCACATGCTGTTTTTGCCTGTACCTATTGCTTTCCTTGTCCTGGAAAATGTATTTTCTTATCCCCACGATTCTACTCCCTGTGAACAAGGGATAAAACTCCCCCATTTCTCTTTTCATGCTAATTTTATAGTGTTTGAATTGACGGCATCAGAAATTAATCAAGAATAATACATTAGGAAGACTAAGAACTATCATAGCTTTAGGAGTTATTGTCCAGCTCTTTAACTTTACACATCAGGAACGTATTTACAAAGCAAATCAACTTAATATTTTGCTACTTTGAAAATCATTTCCTTTTTAAAGTTGTCTTCCGATGCAGTTTCAGTCATTTCTGAATTATTAACATGTGAAGCTTGATGTTAAAAAGTACCTGTGAGCATGGATGTTTACATTCTGAGCGTTCATTGAGCTGAGAGATTGTGATGTATCTTATACTTCAGTAAAAACGTTTACTAAAATTTACATTAGGTGGAAAAGCAGAATGCAAGGCTATGTTGTTACTGTAATGTGCAGTCAAGTGGGTTCCAACTCATAGCGACCCTGTGTAGGCTTTCAGAGGAGCAGCTGGTGGGTTTGAACTGCTGACTTCGATGTTCTAGTACTGATCGTACTGTGCCACACCAAGAGTTCAACAAGACTATATATACAGAAACAAATAAGCTTATATGACTGTTGGTGGGGAAAGGATGTATTTTTTTAAATTTCTATTAAGCATTGAAGTATGTAAAAATTATTATCTCATGCCATGGTTTTTCAGTGAGAAAGACTCCCATATAAATGAGAGAATACGTCATTAAAGACAAATATGCTTATATTTTAATACCAATTTAAGAAAACGCCTTTAAACGTGAAAATGGATTTGGAAGTATTTAGCCACATGTAATAATGAATGTAGCATCTTTATCTGGATGTTCCTTCATTGGCGTTTCTTACAGAAACACTAAAAATGTCTCTGCATACCTTTGTGGATTCATTCTAAAACCAGGAAATGAATACCTTTTTTGCCCATTCGGTCTTTTCTAGCAAATGTATAAATTGACCACTTTAGGCAATAATGTATTTGAATTGGGCTTCCAGTCTTCATGATAAAGTATCTTTGAGTCATGTTATCAAGATGTTGACGTCACCTTTTTTTTGTCTCTCTCTTTCATTGCTTCCCGCTGGTGTGGTTGCTGTGCTGACAATGCTCCTTACCTCTGCTGTGGTCATTTTGTTTCTTCCCATCATTCAGAAAACCTCCCAAGGTAAGCACAGACTTGAAATTTGGCATGTATGTTAGCTTGGTGTGCAGAAATCTAGGAGTTTACCCATATTAATAACCCATGTGAAACACATATCACTGACCAGAAAAAACAGCAGTCTAATGCAAAACTCAGAATGTGAGCAAATGACGTTGTTGTTGTTGTTGTTATGTGTTGTGGAGTCGGTTCCGACTCATAGCGACCCTGCACAGGGTTTCCAAGGCTGTAAATCTTTACGGGAGCAGAAAGCCTCATCTTTCTCCCGCAGAACAGCTGGAAGTTTCAAACTGCCAACCTTAAGGTTCACAGCCCGATTCGCACCCACTACGCTACCAGAGCTCTGACATTGGCAGTACCTAAATGTGAGAATGTTATTTGACACTTACAAAACCTGCTCACATGCTGTTTCCTTCCCTGAGCAGCTGCTCTGGTCCTCAGGTTGGTACTTCTGTTGTATTGATGATGAAATGAGGTTCTGAGAGATAGAGCCGCACATCATAATTCACCCTGAGTCAGAGGATGAGCTGAGACCATATGCACCAACAACTACCTTATCGACACGGTGTGTTTTCAGAGATCGCGTTGTTATGTGAGAATTGGCATTATGTGAAAATGGAGGAAGAGTCCATTACTACATAACTGCCAAATTGCATCATGATGTAATTACTAACCACCGAGCATCACATCCAGGTAGGGTGGCACAACCATAACTACCCCAGTCAACATTACTCTCAGCTCTACAACTCGGCATTCATTACTGCCAGATATATGTCGTTAGTGTGCAAAATAGTCCAATAGCAACAACTGCCTTTTCTATGGCTTACTAAGAAGAATTCAAATCATTAGAAAAATTACGCAAACCACCTCTATATGCTGCATTGTTACCAGGCCATCACAAAGTCTGTGAATTGGGAGTTGTCCCTGGTTACTCTGGTGAACATTTGATGGTGTTTTCATCAGTGAGGAGCCCAAAAGTTAGAGAAAAATAATTGAATTCAGGGATCTGAATGGGCAACCTCTTACCAGAGATCATTTTATTGGGTATTAGAGCGACAGTTGGAATCCAAAGGAAGAGACATTCTACCAGTCCCTAATGATGTGGTTCCTGAGATAAGATCAGAGTGGACTATTACTTCCAATACTTCCACACACACT